CCCAACCCCCCTTTTCATTCTCTTTGCCCGCATCGAAAAAAAAAAGGATCTGGAGAAATAGCCCCACCTCAAAACGAATCGGAGGGGCAAACGAAGTATTCGCTTCGCCGGCCAATATCCGGTCCGGTAGCCGGGGGAGGAGGAGGTCTAGTAGATCCGTCTGGGTGTAGGGTGAGGGTTGGGGGTGAAGAGCTTCCGCGGACCAGAGGGGGTGAGCGAGTGTAGAGGGGTGGGGAGTACGGGGGGCGTGAGCGCTTATAGCCATTGGCACTCTGCCCCCTTCCGAAACGCTCGCGCCAATTTCCGCCGCTCCCCTCGAGGCGTGCGCGGGCGCGGCGGGCTGAACTTGGGCCTGACGGGCCGGGTGGCGGGCCGGGGAGCCGAGCGGTGCCAGGGCGCACGTCGTTTAGAGTTTCCTCTAGTGTAGAGTGACAGAGACGGGGGCTCGCACGCAGAGGCTGGAATGGGCGGCTACAACTGGTAGCGCACCTGAATCACCCCTCACCCCGCCTACCCCACCACCCCAAGCGCCAAATGGCCATGTTACTGCCCTTTTACTTGTGTTTATTTGGAGTAATAAAGCCAGCAGCTACAACACGGGCACGGGTCACTCCCTCCTGTACAACGCACGCAGCTTAAACGCGCACATTAGCTTCAGCTTATTTTTCCTTTCCTTTTAAATCTCAATTTTTCATTGCAATTACGTTTGTGTCCTGCACTGAAAAGGACTAGCATATTTTTCTCCCCAGCTGGTTGGAGCAGTGGGCGCTCGAAGGGCGCGGCCTGGTCTCAAACACCACTCGACTCGACATAGCCGGCGCGCCTGTCGCATGGAGGGTAGGCAACCCATCCAACACCCGAGCATCACACTAGCATTCGTCTCAGGCGTTCACACGACCAACTGACTGGTGATCTGAGAGAAGGACGTCAATCCAAAAATAGCAACTTTCTTGTTGGAAGGTATGTATTTATGTTTTTGTTTCGGCGGAAAAACTATGTATAATAAAACTACACCGAAAAAATCGACTCACTGTTTTGAACTTACGCCTTTTTGCCAGATTACCCCTGAACTTGCGTCTTAGTCTTAATATTATAATTACTTCAGCAAACAAGACATAGTGACCTTTCGCGGGCTGGCGGTACTGACCTGCTTGAACTCCTTGCGGAAGTTGTCGTTGAGCCAGGCGTAGAGGAAGGGGTTGTAGCAGGTGGACGACATGGCGAGCGCGTGCACCATGAAGAAGCTGAGGTAGTAGTAGCGCCAGTTGCCCGTCGGGATGTACACGTCGTTGAGGAGGTTGATGACGTTGAGCGGCATCCAGGAGATGCCGAAGACGGTGACCATGGCGATGAGCATGCGGTTGGTGCGGCGCTTGCGCTCGCGGTCCGCCTCCTCCTTGCGGCTCGACTTGCAGCCCGGCTTGAGGCGCGCGCGGTCGCGCAGCTTGAGCGACACGCGCACGTAGCAGAAGGCGATGATGACGAACGGCACGAGGAACTGCAGCACGGCCGTGAGCACGCCGTAGATCTGCAAACAAAAGACAATCCAGCCCCTGCTCATCGCCGCTTTGCAATTCGTGACACCACAGTTCGCCCAATGTATGTGCAAACGCTCAGTGTGGCGTACACTTGGGTTAACTAACGTCGTCTAACCATCGAAATGCCCCCAAAAGTTTAAGACGGGCGGACCAGACAGTTTCAAATCCCTTTTTGCAACGCCTAGCGCAACCCGAGCAAATATCGAGCGCAAACCCAGATTCAGTTGACTTATTTTTCACAATGAACGATTGCGGTTCATCATATGCTAGCATTTCGGGCTAACATGCAAAAATCCCGACCCGTCTGCCCGGGCCAGCAGCGGGACACGTGATCTCCGACAAGAGCGCGTTAGCACTACACTACCGCGCGCGCGCCCCTGGGAGGCCGGCGAGAAACACCCTCCTGGGGAAGGGAAGTGGCGGCTGGCGGCCCGGCGGGGCCCGGAGATGTGTTATCGGACGGCAGCAGCACGTGCTGGACCAAAGAGAAGGTGATTGATTGTGATTGAGACCGTCGAGGAAGTAGTGTTTGTCGGGGGGAGAGGAGGTTTGTGCGGGAGCAGGGGCGGAGGGGAGGGGGGGAGAGATG